GGTTGTGACACCAATTGTTGTTGGGGGACTGAAACGAAGGCAGAGAAGCAAGGCGGACTGGGAGCAAAAGAAGGGTTCAACACAGGAAGGCGAAGTGAATGTCTGTCCTTGTATAAAATGGGTAATGGCACAGGGTGCTGAGGAAGGCGCAAGTCCTGGTAGAAATCATTCCTTCACCTCAGTCACCGTTCCTGATTGAGTTGTTGGTTGTCGCCCATGTTCACTGTTATCCTTCAAATCTTGATCTCAATAATCCCGTGATGGCTTTCAGTATTGCACAGTACGGGGCTCTTCCAGCCGGGGTGGCCTACATTGCTGCCTAGAAAGCAGTCAGCTGGCCGAAGTTCGTCATCATACTTGGAGTATTGACAATCGGCACAGTGGCCCCAGTCTCCCTCCGTGGTCAAATCTATCCTCCCGCTACAGTTGGGGCAGTTGTGGGGAGTGGACGACGAGACCGGAGATGATAGCTCGGGACAAGAGGAGAAGCGAACAACGGTCTAACAAGTAACAATCAAACGGCTGAGCGCCTGACGGGTGACTTGGACTCGAAAAGCGAATTGCGAAACACAAAGAAACGCGGGCAGAAATATGGTTGAGAACATGTCGACATGCATCTCAGCTGCACGTGACTAGGATGGCTTAATGGCATACGCGGGTGTTTAGCCAATGTCACGGATTGCAGCATTAGCGAGCAGCATGTCGACGTTCTCCCCAGATAGATCCATTTGAGAGAAACACAGAAGATCAACCAGCTCTGGCTATTTCCATTGCTTCCCTATAGCTTTTCCATATGCTCCAAGGTAGACCTTCTGGCTGCGCGGGTTCGCAGGGGCCCCATCGCTCGTGCTTGGGAATCCATTTTCGCTCAGGCTCTTCCACACCTCTGCTATTGTCGCACGTTGTCTGGGGAGAACCGAATACTGCAGTCCGTACATTTGGCTCCGACCTAGAGGGGGTACAAATCGGCCTGTGAGGAGTCGAAATACGACGGTTGGGGACAGATAGTGCCGACGGATGCGTGCCCACAGCTGGAAATATTGTTCAAATATCTGTCGCAGTGATAACGGAGTAGACGACAGGCGAATGTAAGCCACGCTAGTAGCACCATTGTCTTCTTCCCCTTCCTCCTCTTCCCCAGTGTCGCCGGCACTGTCATCATGATCGTCTTCTCGCTCTGTTTCTTCTCGGTAAGAAATTCTTGTCTGCTCTGCATCCAATAGCTGAAAGTGAATGCCACCTGGCAGCCTCTTGCTATCTTTGATCCTCAGCATCAATGCAAACAAGGGGAAATGGTTGAGACATGCTAGACAAGTGTCCAGAGTGGCTTTCAACGAAATAATCGCCATGCGAGCCGAAGCAAAGGTCAGGTAGAAGACCACGACAGTGGGCAGGAGGAAGAATAGCAAGGTGAAGAGAATTGTTCCCAATAAGAGCTGATCAAGGTCGTAGTCACAATTGTCGATCCGATTGCGGAGAACATTCCGTTTCTTGCCACGAAATAAGTGAAAGAGGCTGATAATGATTGTCAACTGCCAGTTGAAGATACGTGCACTTGCGACATAGAAAGAGTAAATGTGCATCGTGAGCAGGCTAAGGAGGTCGGAGAAAATGGCAATAGGCATTGTGGCCCCAGCAAAAGACGAACATCCGACAACATAGACGACGGTCGGCAACCGTGGAACAATGAGCACGACTATCGTCGAGGACCAGTATTCGATGACCCACAAGAAGAGGTCGCCGAGAAATGCAGCAAGCTCTGTGTTCAACTTGAGGCCTCCTGGGTATGACATGAGCCACCTGATCATGCGTTTGAGACCTTCAATCGTGTACTCATTCAGTACTCCACCGATCAGCTGAGATGTAGCTTGCGCATTGTCGCTGATGAAGCTCCCGAGTGCAATGCCAATGATGACATCGTTTGCTACCAGCCAAAGGGAGTTGTAAAAGCGGATGTAATCGCTATTTGTTGTTGGAAAGGATGACCAAGTGGCTTTGCGGCGTCGGAGAAGAGAATATTGCGTCGGATAGTAGGAGAACTGCTGAAGTCTTAGATGAACTTGCTGACAACATGCCGAAATATCCTTGAGCGCAACGGTGCCTTTGACAGCCTGGCGGCTCTCTGGCAATTGTAGTTTCTGAAAGGGCAAGGGCAACTCGAGCAGTCGCAAAAGACCTTCGGCTATGATCCGGTGTCCGATGATCGCGATCTTAAAGATGGACAAAAGCGTAGGAAAGGCATATGCCATGAATAACGTCCACAGCGACCACGCCGCAAATGCGTACAGCGATTGGGCAGATTCGACGACTCGTTCGCTGACAGATAAGCTCCTTTTTCTTCGCGGACCAACAAGAGGTGTGTTCTTCTGCAACAAGTCTGCCACCTCTTGGGAGCAATTGATCTGGCGAAGAATCGCAGGCAACGCCAACTCTTTCTTCGTTGGGGCATGTCTAATCACTGTGTGAAAACGAAGTTTTGCCACTAAGTCGGCGACTCGCTGCCGCTCCTTCTCCCCCTGCATCCCAATTTCATCTGGTGTGGACTCGGGCGCACCGGCGGCCAAGTGATCCCTTCCCAGGGCAAGCGATATTGGCTCAAGAGACATGTATTGCATTTGAGTGGGATTTGGAGGGTCGAAAAGGACAATCTGTACAGTCAATTCTGCGCCCGGCGGGCAGTAGATGGAAGGTCTCCGAGAACCTGAGATGGTGAAAGCGCAGATCCTTGAAGGGTCGAATATTTCGGGGGGATCTGGGTGATTGAATGTGCCCAGAACATGCATATGAGGCTGGTCGCAAAGCTGAAAGATTCGGGCCACTGGGTACGGACTGTTGCGGAATAGAGTACCCATGCGAAGAGCAGATTCCACGCTGCGGACCTGACTCGATTTAGCATTGCTTCCTGATATGTCTCCTTCGCGGCCTTACTTCAACATCTTCAAGCACGGTTATGACAAACAAATCATATTCCGAATTCCTCCATCCCACTATTACACCGGGTGTGGTTGTCCGAGTAAGGCTGCTTGGCCAGAATACCCGTAGCATGCCATCGCCGTTCTCGACCATGATAACATATTGTCAATGCCTAAAAGGAACCTCTCCGACGCAGCTGCTCTTGGGCAGAGATCCCATGCGCTAGGACTCGAGGATGAACAGCGGCTTCGTGGGATGCAAGGCGATCGAGAGGAATGGCGAGAAAGACGTAGACGAGGGAAATGAGTGCAAATGCTTTCGCCACGCGTGCAAAAACACCGTGGTCCCAGGCAAAGATGGCTAATTCATACAGTCGAGTAACAAGATCCCAGCGTGCAGTGATGTAACCAGCAACAAAGATACCGATGGTCAGGGAGGAGAATGGGTGCATCGACGTGGCACTGATCAGGATAGGTAAATAGCGATCAATCACACATATTGCGTGATCACAAAATCATGAGCAGTCGAATGGGGTCAATAGAGACTCTTTCTCACGGATACCAGAAGTACAAAGTAGGGATTGTACCTCGTACTGGGTACTCGGTAGAGCTGCGTTTTCGAAAGCGGGAGAGCAAAGCGTGGCAGCAATAATACGGAGGCGCATTTGAGCAGGGGTGGTCAAGTTACCCGCCTGTGGCTTGTGCGGAGGAGTATCTGGTCCACCATGCCGTGCCTTCAACCGTTTACAATAAGTCTGAACACCACATCCTGGCCCCTCGTGTTTGCATATAATAGCTTCGCCTTGCTGAAGACTTCTGCGAACCCATGGCAAGACCAACTCATGCCTGCAACGCCCCTCGGGGGGCCTTGGAAGTCCACATTGTGGAGAAATCCCCTATCCCTTCAATATCAAAGCGGGTCGGACTGCTTTTTGCCCCTCTTTTCTGCCCGTTTGTATTGCTTCCCCAGTCTTGGTTGTCTTTGCACAGAGGCTCGTTGGGAGCACTGGTGCTCGTACTGGGTAGGTATGTCCTGGGTAGGAATGCTGCGGTCGCAGGAAATGCATTTGGTAAAATGGCGCTAAGACATGCTAAGGTCACTAGCGGTCGATCTCCCGATATTAGCGCCGGATAGATCCTTGGGCAGACAAAAGTGTTCCTCTCTCACCTCAGTGTCAACTTCGCGTCTTCTGTATCACAACATCCAGCATGATTTGACAAAGTCATCCTCGCGCTGTGTAATTCTGTCATGGAAGGGCCCACGGAAAGCCACCAGCGAGTGTGACAGATCGGGGTACATTTGTTTCGCGTCCAAGATGAGACATTGCAGCTAGCCGAAGTGGTTGATTTCCAGCCTCCCGCATTTCGGTCAGTGAGGTGTGAACAAGCGGGCCGACAAGCGGACATATCGCATCTCATCTCTTTTCAGCAACATCATCTTGAGGTAGGCTTGTCGTCTGTCCTGCGTGTCTGTCTGCTGCGGCCTCAGTCAGTGTTTGTGCCTGGTTTCTCGGTCTGCAGCTTTCTGCAGCGGTGGAAGTCGGCACCGAATATCTTTGTGTGTCCCTTTGGACGGGTGGGTGCATGGTGGTGGAGGGCAAACAGCCATAAGGACACCTTGCTGCTCTCAAAGCAAAGGCTTGTTCGCTTGCGCAAGCTTTGTCGAGGTGGCGTGGAGGAGCGGATACGCACATCGCATGGCAGCTTCCTACGCTCCGCAGGAGTGAATTGGGCCGGATCGACTGCTTCTGATCAGATCAGTGGCCGTGAGGGATCGCAACTGCCGCCTCCAGCTGTGATTGCAGTGAAGCGCCAGACGCCAGATCGCAGAGCGCTACGCCAGAGCGCAACGCAAGATCGCACTAGTGGCCGGGTCGATCTGGAGCGTCTCGCCCACGCTATAAATTTCTCCTCTGCATTTCTCAAACTTGGACCTGAACCTCCCCCTCTTACCCTCTACCAAATACCTTCAAGTTCTCATCAACACCATCTGTGTCGCTCTTTTGGACCAGAATTACCCTCGAACTTGGATACTCAATACTCTTACTCACCACATTCATCACCAACAATTCCACCGCATCCTTCACCATGAAGATCGCAAACGTCCTCGGCCTCATGGTCGCCGGCCTTGCTGCTGCTTCCTTTGGTGAGTCGGCAAGCCCTCGTCAGCTTCCGCCTACTTGTAGCTGACAAAACCCATAGCCACTGTCCTCAACATTGGTGTCCATGAGAAGGTCGTTGCAGCCTTGGCAGGTGAGATTTCAATCCCACGGACTTCTGACAACCCAGCACTGACGACAATTCACAGCCAGAGACATGTCCCTTGACGAAATCAACAACATCATCAATCTCATGCCTCGCCGTATGTACCCCTTCTGCTGTGCTCTGAAACTTCACTGACACTCTGAGCTACAGAAGAACCAGTCACTGTCACCGTCGTTCCAAATGGTTGTCCTCCCTATGGCACTCTGTCCACCTCTACCCCAGCTGTTCCAACCGTTCCTCTCACCACCGAAGTCACCGTTACCTCGTCTGTCACGTCCATGGTCACCACTATTACTCCAACTGCGCCCGTCACTCCTACCTCTGTTGCTAGCAGTGAGACTCCGGTTGAGACTCCTGTTGTTCCACCCACACCTGCTGTTTCGACTGTTGAGACCACTCTCGTTACTCCGACTCCGCCTGTGGAGAGTAGCGTTCCAGCTACATCCGAGTCCAATACCCCAACCCCATCTGAGAGTAGCTCTGTTGTTGGGACCACTTCGTCTTCAACCTTCACCCAGACCAGCCTCTCCACTCCTCCCACTCAGACCACAGCCACTGCTACTACCTCCACTGGCATTCCGCAAGCTCCCAACGCTGGTGGTGCTGGAACTATTGGTGTCAACCTTGGCTTGGCCGGTTTGATGGCTGTGTTGGCCGTGGCCTGAATCCACACACCTCCTCATGCCGATACCCCGACGCTCTTTGCAGCTATGTCTGCCATGTACCACAACATGCCACTCATCAGCATATGCAAATGACAACAGACACTCTCCATCTCGCCAGTGAGATGTATGATCACACAACAACAGAATCAACACTAGCTTTTTCGAAGGAACACAAGAAATTACGTGTCAGCAAACAATATGATTCTTTCCAACTAGGCCTTATTGAACTGGCCACATGAAATCGTCATGATGGTTCGTGGGGTGGACAACACTACTCTTGAATTGGATTGAGGAATCGGACTTAATTGCTATTGCACCTTAATTGATGATTCCAATCATACAGCATGTTGGCACAGTGATCAAAGTGATGATCCTTGAACCATAGCTAGTCTGAAATGAAATTGTGCTTTGAACAATCCACCCCTCCTCCTCCCACCCCTAGTGTATTCTTCCTGCTTAGCTTGCTTACCGTAGATTACCAGAGTCCCAAATGTCTCTCTGTGCCTGGTTTCAATACGTTGTGCGGCTTACGGGTGTTGTTGCTGCACGTCATGCTCCACCCTCCGACCCCGAGGCAGTCTACTACGCACAGGATTTCGAGTGTCCCGACAATGTCAACGCCATCGTCTAATCCAACCAACCACGTGACAGGATCGCAAGCCCAGAGGCAGTCCTCCTGTAAGCCAATCAAACGCCAGGACCGTAGTGATCTTGTTCACGCGCTAGATCGACCCTCTTCCAGCGCGCCAGATCAGATCAGTTCAATCGATATCCCGTGATCTAGACTTTCCTGGGGCGATGACGGTTTGACGCCTTCACTGTCGCTTTCACCGATGTTTCAGATGTCCTTGAGCATTCAATCAGCAGTATGGATCGTCGCAGATTCACTACTTCAGGTCTGTCAGTCAAATGTATCGATGAACACAGCAATTGAGCTCCGCTGAGAGGTATTCTATTCTATTGTAGTTGCAAGGCTGAGAATTTCGGTTCATCTTCGGCTGATCTTCTCCTCAGCCCCTTTTTGGACGACCTTGGATGGCGAGGATTGCTCAACGGTGTAGGTATTGGTGGTGGACGTTGGACGTTACCTCAGGGGTGGCCTTGCCCCCTACCTGACATGTTGTCCTGGCGGCTCAAAAAGGCCGCTTGTCCCACCCCTTTGTCAACTACATGTTCTGTTACTGGTCCTGAAGGCCACAATGACTGATGATGGTGGAAAAGGAGAAGTTCTTTTTTGTGTTGTCTTCTATCACAAGATTACGGCACGATCTCGGGAAGATCCCTGCTCCAGGTATACCTTGTCCCTATCTTCATGTAGAACAATGAAGGTGCTCCACCCTGAGCTGTCTTTGAGTTGCATGAATTGAGTGGCTCGAAGCCGTCCGGCTTCACTCTACGCAGTCTTACGCCTTTTTCTCAGTTCGACCACCATTCTCATACACTTCCTCCCAAAAGCCTTCCTTCCAAAGTCTCAAGACCTCAAACCCAACCTCTATCGCGATCAGGACAATGATGGTCCACTCCAAAAACAATCCGTGCTTCTCACTCAATCTTTCTCTCAGCACGGTCGCAATCTCCGCAGCATAGTCCATCTTTTCATTCAACATTTTGATCCTAATTCCCACGTCCAACGCTCGGCCAACTTGGTCGTAATAGTTCTCTAGGTTGAGTTCATGCCGGGAGTCCCAAAAGAGATCAGGGAGAGAGTCCGTAAGTTCGGAGTAGAGGTTTAATTGAGCGCGGAGGAGGAGGAGCTGACCTGTTTTGCGGGAGATGAAATCGCGGGAGAGTTTGAATGGGAGTCGAGAACCTTTTGCTAAGAGAGCTGGGATATCTGCTGTGGAGGCTAGATAAGTGGAAAGGTTCGTCTCAAGAACGGCAAGTTTGGTAGAGCGGGCGAACCCGGAGGAGAAGGCAATTTTGGTGAGCACTGTGTCAACAGTTTGGAAATGTGACTGGGCCTGTTGATGGTCTGCGGATGGGCTGGTTTCTTGGTGCTCCGACTTCTTGGTTCCCAGGATGATTGTGTCGCCGCGAATTAGGCTGTGTTCACGGCTTGGATCTTCAATGTAATCCAGGTCTTCGGTCTCGACCGGCTCTCTATGAGGGTTATCTGCTGCAGGGAGGAGAGTGCGGGTTGCAAAATATGAGGTAAATCCGTCGGGCAGAGCCCATGTTACCACTGTGCCGGATGGGAAGACAAATACATCGCCGACTTCTGTCGACGAAAGATCTCTTGCAGAGGGATTGGTGGAGCGGTAGATTGATGAGATGGGGACTTGGACATGGACGACTTGCGGGAATAGTCCAGTGCCCAGCGGATCGGGCTCGTAGCCTTTATTGCGAAGGATCTCGACAACCTGGGCCAGGTCGAATTGTTCTGCAACAGCATACGCCGTCACGAGCTTCGGTGTTTGTTCTACCTCTTCATGTGATCTCGCGCCTGGCTTCGCGAGGCCAGCCTTTGATATCTGAGCCTCCAATCCAACTCTTCGCAGCGACGTTTTCGTGCCGGGGGAACGTGCAGTTTTCCGCTTCTGAGCGGGAGAAGTGGTTGCCGGTTCGATGACAGAATCCTCTGAGTCGCTATCTTTCTGCACCTCTGTTTTCTGTGCCGATTGACTTATTAATGACGGGTTGGAGGAAAAGAACTCCCGGCGGCGAGGCCGTTGGAAGATTGGCGATGCATGCAGAGGCCGGAAGCCCGGTTGACGAAGCACATCATATCCAGCTCGTCGACAAGCAGCGCAAACGAACTGACTCCCCAGACTCAGCATCGGGCGCGTAGCTGCCGAGCGCATGTTAAGGGAGAGGAGCTGGGTGCGTTGAATAGCCAAGACTGCATCTGCAACACAGAATGCCAGTCTTGGTTGGAGCTCAGGTACAGATGATGCTCCGCAAAATGATCCATGAGGCTGAATACAAATGGTCACAGCCGAGGACTTGGCGCTCGTCATTTCAACGCTCGGATTAGCGTCGAGCATCTACGGAGCATCACCACCACTCCGACACCACCCACTGGAGACTCCAGCCTTTGCGTGCAGATGACGCGCTTTTGAACTTCCTATCCTCTGCATGGCGGCCGGAGATGGCTCGTCGGAGCCAGGTAATGATGACAAGCTTCAGGAGTCCACGAGATGTCCTCCAGAGCCAACCGACCACGACTCGACAGCAGATGAATCCGAGGAGGATGAGGACGAAGAAGAGGAGGAAGAGCCACGACTCAAATACGCTACGTTGACAAGGAATGTGAGCTCGATATATCGCAACGGAGATGCAACGAGTACCTTTCACGTGGCAGGAGATAAAATGATTGTCGGGACTCACAACGGCAACATTCACATTTTCGCTTTACCGTCATTCAACTCCCTGCGCGTCTACCATGCCCACACAGCCAGCATATCGGCGATCTCGATATCTCCATATACACCCCCGCTTGCAGGTTTTCGCTATGATCCGGGAATGAAAATAGCAGTTGAAGCGACATCGAATCCGGACAGATCACCCTCAAGCTCACCGGCGCCGAAAGGCAAGCAACAGCAACAGCCTGTGCCAGATATACCTGCAAATCGAATATACATCGCCACATCTTCCATTGACGGTAACGTCTGCATTGCCTCACTCGTCGATCCTCGCGATGTTCAGCTGCGCAACTTCGGAAGACCTGTCCAGACCGTTGCCCTATCACCTGAGTACAAGTCGGATAGAACATACCTGTCTGGTGGGCAAGCAGGCATTTTGGTGTTGACTACTGGTGGGCAAGCAGGCAAGAGTGCCAATGCGACTACGACTGGAGCTGCAGCGGCCGCCTCTGGGTGGCTTGGGTCTATTGGTCTTGGAGCAAACACGGGATCAGACAAAATTCTGCACAGTGGGGAGGGCATCATCAGCACCATCAAATGGTCACTGTCCGGAAAATATGTTCTCTGGGTAAATGAACAGGGTATCAAGATCATGAGATCAAACTTGAAGCTGGAAAGTTCAGAGTCAGGTCTGGAGTGGAAACGAATGAGTCACATTGACAGACCTAATCGTCCTGGATGGGAAGACATGGCTGGTGTATGGAAAGCTCGCGCTGAGTGGATCGACCGCGATAATATCGAAATCGACGACGACTCGCCCGTCACCGCTCTTGTCCCTACTTCGGCAAACGGCGCATCTCCTAAGCCTGACCCGAGGAAAAAAGTCGAAGAAGCCTTAGTAGGATGGGGAGATTCAGCATGGATTATCAAGGTGTACCCGGGATCCACAGAAAGCGGAGGTAATAATAAAATTGGACGCGCTGAAGTCGCTACGATGTGAGTTCGACGTGCACCCTGAAGGAAGCATTTACTGACCACAGTATAGTATACGATTTGATGACTGTACAATATCTGGAATTTCGTTATATACCCCGAGTCTGCTTTTGGTGCTTGCATATATGGAAAAGAAGAAAGGCAATAGGTCAGCGTCCCAGGAAAATGAAGGCAGCAAAAGAGGCCGACGAACACGACATAATGCATTGGAACCGGAATTGCGTCTGGTCAATATGGATACGAAGGAAGAAGTCGACACCGACACTCTCACTATGAGTAGATTTGAGACTCTTTCGGCTTCAGACTATCACTTGGGGGTTCTGCCACCCATCCGCATCCCAGCTGCTCTTGTCCAGAAGGGGTACCTCAGCACCATTGGATCTGGTATGAGTACAGTCGGTTCAAGTCTCGCTACAGGCGTCGAGACCGTTGGTCAGGGCATGTGGGACGCTACAATGTACGGGCCACGTCTATTAGGTGCGAATCGCATTTTCAGTTCAAGCGAGAGCATTCGAAGCGGTGTTAGCGGTCCTGACCGAATGGGGAGCATCAGAGAACGCAATTATCTCACAGGCTGGATTCCGGGATTTGGATCCAGTGAAACCAGTGCCAAGGAGGAGATAAATGCCATGGCCACGGCACAAAGCATGAAGATTTTCATCTTCAGCCCATATGACTGCATCGTCGCAGTTAGACGCAATCTCAATGATCGTATGCATTGGCTTGTGAGCTTGAAGAGATACCAGGAAGCTTGGGAACTGGTTGATCAGCATCCTGAAGCGGCTGGCACCCTTTCTGAATCTTCAGAAACTTCAACACCGCCAAGTCCTTCAAAAGCCAGTTCTTTCACAAAGTCTGTCTCTGCCGTCCCCCCAAGTCCAACACAAGCCCGTCAGCAAGCTCCTCTGGCCGAATTTTTTGCGGATTCGGTTTCAATCACAAGTTCAGCGCGGGCCAAGTCCAAGACCAAATTCTCTGCTGCGGAGAAGGAGAAGCGCAGGATAGGCGAGCTCTGGCTCAAGCAATTGGTTGATGCCAATAAATGGTTAGAAGCTGGGGAAGTGGCGGCAAAAGTGCTCAATACAACCAGTCGATGGGAGCACTGGGTTTGGATCTTCGTTAAAAACGCGAAGTTTGACGAGATATCACCTCACATACCGACGTTGGAACTAACACCCCCTTTGCCATCGTCCATCTTTGAAATCATCCTTGGTCATTATGTGGAGGTTGACAAAATCCGGTTCAAGGAGCTCCTTGATGAATGGCCTTCGGACCTCTTTGAGATCAGCAGCATCACATCAGCGATTGAAGACCAGTACCGCGCTGGCAATGCTCCGAAAGGGTCGCAGGACTGGAGGTTGTTACAAGAAAGTCTGGGGAAATTGTCCCTTGCAGATGGGCACTATGACGAAGCTCTAAAATGCTATATTGCTCTCCAGGACGCTGACACTGCCATGTCACTGATCAAGGAACATCATCTCGTCGATGCGATCGCTGATGACATCCCTAGCTTTGTGATGCTGCGAGTATCGCCCGAACAAGTCAAGACGGCATCTCGCGACGAGCTCAACGAGCTAGCGGCTGATTCGATCAAGGTCCTCGTGGACGAAGCTGCCGCTGGAGTCGTTGAGCCTGACGAGGTTGTTGCGCAACTTGATAGACCGACGCTGGAGCCTTTCCTCTATTTCTATCTTCGTGCTTTGTGGCGCGGCGAGGGGACCCAGGGTGGGCCCGCCTTGTCCCGTGTTGGGCACTCGGCCATTACTACGTCGCTTGCTGCTGACACTGGAAAACAACATGTCGAACAATTCGCGGACATCGCTGTCGATTTGTTTGCGGAGTATGACCGAGATCTACTCATGGAATTTTTGCAAGCATCCATAGCTTACACTTTCGAAAACGCCGTAAAGGTATGCGAAACGAAGCATTATGTCGAGGAACTCGTCTACCTCTTGAGCAAAACCGGACAAACTAAAAAGGCGCTGTTTTTAATCATTGACGAATTGAAGGATGTCTCAAAGGCCATCGCTTTTGCGAAGGAGCAAGATGACCAGAGTCTCTGGGACGACTTCCTCGAATACAGCATGTCGAGACCAAGATTCATTTCAGGTCTACTTGCCGAAGTTGGAACTGCCATTGATCCCATTACCTTGGTGAAGAGAATACCTTCCGGGCTGGAAGTCGAAGGCCTGAAAGATGGCCTGAAGAAGATGATTCGAGAATATGATTTGCAAGACAGCATCAGCGCCGGCGTTGCGAGAGTACTCAGCAGCGAGGTTGCCGTTGGTATGGAGACGCTGAGAAGAGGCAGAAGGAAAGGCATCAAATTCGACATTGTCGCGTCACCACTGAGACATCAGCGGCCGCCCGCCCCAGATGTTGATGGTTCAAAGGATCAACATGCGGAGGGACAGCAGACCGAAGCCGAAGTTGAGATCAAGCCTGGGCATTGTGCGTCCTGTCATAAGGCGTTCCATGAAAACGAAACTGAAACCTTGGTCGCGTTTGCTTGCGGGCACGTCTATCACGTCTCGCACCTGCTACATGGTCCTGAAGCAGAAGGGGATGAGGTATTACTACCCCAGAATGGGGTGATCCGTCCGGATGATGGCGAAGTTGAGGAAACCAGGTTTTCCAGATCAGTGGGTCCAAAGGTCACCAATGCGCGTTTACTGAAAGACAAAATACAGAATGTTGGTGGATGTACCATATGCAAAGGGTCGCGGGAAAGAATGAAGGCTGCTGGAGGATAACGAACGCCTCACCAAAACCAAATTTGCTTACTTGGATCTACGGAGTACATTGTGCCTCGTGGCAGGCTTTCAAGGCGCTGGGCCGAAGCAAACATCTGCCTTGACCCAGATTCTCAAGGGCACCGCAACCCATACAATACGGGGAGAAACAGCACGGCGACAACAAAGCACAGTTACTTACCACTGACTTGAGATCTCGTCTCATGCACCTTTACCCTCCTTTCTTGCACAACTGTTCACGTGATACAATACCATCCAGAGCCCATCGGGGAGCCAAACTCCATGGCCCCAGCTATTGCGAGATCGATCTTGAAACATACTCCACCACATGGACCAAGCGCTTAGGCGCGCCCCCCCCCCCCCAACTTGTCCCGTCTCATGCTTTTCCTTAACCTCAGCAGGTAGACGATCTTCGCAGATGGTCATTCGCGGCCGGACGGCGAGGCATACGGCCGAGGCGATGCTCCGTTTCCCATTGCCTGCTCTGGGCACCGTTTCAGCCTTTCCAGACCGGGTGAACCGTTCGACTTGGATTTCTCATCCGCTCCGACCCCATCACCATCGGTTTTTCCGTGCTTACTCGACCCTGAACCTTTCAAGGTACTTAAGGGGACAAGGACTCCATCGTATCGGTGACCTTCTGAAGCCCGAGCCTTCTTTGATTCGAGATCGAAGAGATTGCGTGCTGTGGGTGAAGCCCGAAGACTGAAAAGCAGCAAGATTCTTGGATTCCTGCATCTGTGTGGGGTTTGCAGTCCGTGATGGAAGATTGAGGCGTTCAAGGCTTCCGGGCGTAGCGGATATTCAGGGAACCGTCACCGTTGTGTCGAACCGAGCAGACCTAATGATCCCGAGGTGCGAACGGAATGCGCCGCGATGAGGGCCTGGGCTGGGAAGAGGGGAGTCGATGCGATTGAAGGCGATTTGAAACCTCTACTCGAGCGACAAGGGGACTTTGGCTCTTGCGTCCTGGTCTGTACTACACGGTACTTTCGCAAACGTTTCGGCTCGAGCGACCGAAGGACTTCTTTTGTCGATGCGCGATGGTTGACGGCGACCCTGACGAGTCGAAGGCTTCACGACCGTCTTCCTAATAACCGCCGGCCATTGTCTACCCGGTCAGGGGGAGTTTGAGCATCTGAGCGGCCTGCCTCCTGTCCGCGAACGATCTGAACCGAAACCAATGAGCAGCAGTCTTCGCAGCAATAGTGCATGAACGGTCTCCCGGGTGTCCCCGTACAAAGTGTCATCTGCATGCTGTCTCTTCTGGTCATAACTTGGCTAGACGCGAGAAATGATCTTTACAGCCCACCAACTCTGAAAATGAATTCGTATTGCACATCGCCCTCAATTCTTGCTGAGCAGGTGGCTAGCTAGACAGCAATGAGGGGGATTGCCCGACTGTTGGTTTTTTGTTGATGCTACTGACACCTATCTTGGACAAACAGCCAACCTCCAAGCTTCTTCGACCGCAGCGCGTCTTTTGCAGCGTTTCGTGAATTGCAAATCGTACAACCCAGAAAGAGCGTCGATCTCAATACCTTCCCAGATGCGGTGCCCCTATTGCTTTCACAGCACACGGTGATTAGCCCTAGTAACCACTCAGAAGACCGTGTGGCGGCTTTGAGTGCCTGAACCGCCCTGCAGCGACGTCGGTCTATAAGCACCCGGCATGTTGCTTAGCATTTGCAATCTTCGGCCCGATCTGAGTTGTGGTGGTCTGAGACAGGTCTTCTTGTTAGTAAAGATCGGACTTTGGGCTTTGAAGGTTCAGGACATTCAGCTTCAGGGTTATACTTGAGCTTTGATCTTAGCCATGGACTGGGGAAGTTGTGTTAAGGCTCAGACGGGGGCTTCGGTTTCGGTTTACTGTTTGGCCCTGACTGAAGCGATGCTTCTCTGAGATCAGGTTATTGAGAGACAAAGACAAAGAAACAACCATCGCACACCCAGAGGCCGTTATCCAGTGAAAGGAAACAGCAATTCAGCCAAGACGCTGCGGCGCAAGAAGACGAAGGACAACGCCACGTGAAGTCCAGTCACCCTAGATGATTGCTCATCCTCCGTTGGTGACACGACCCTGCCTCTCCTTTCGTGTTTCTGAACCGACTCGATTCTTCAGTGCTCAAGGCGCCCCAAGCTCAAAACCTCATCCATTCCTTCCTTGCCCCGCTTCTCGAAGGATATCCGGCAGCGACACAAATCTATTCGATCGAAATACGTCCTCCTTGCTTTGTTACAATGTGCCCCTGCTACATGCAGCAAGACCGAGAAGACCGCCTGCGTAAGTCGTAAGATCTCCCCCCCCCCGGGGGTTCCCTTTCCAAGGATAGGAGAAATCGAGAAAAAGAAAAAAAAAACCTGACTTGTTCTCATCGATTTAGTGTGCAAATTTCGACGGGTAGTGGCTCTGTTGAGTCGTGCAAGGAAGCTGTCGCTGCCCGATGGGAAGGAAGAGGCGGCACTCCGGGGCCCGCAGTAGATCATGCTGCATATCAATTCGCAACATTCAGGTCCACAGACAGGCTAGACGCCCAAGATGAACAGCGTACAGGGGTACGAGGCTGAGGGTCTGCGGGGAGAGCCAACAATCTCTTGCTCTGTGGCTGGACGCAGATGACGGGCAGCGACGGCGATGTGTGGGTGGTTGATGTGCCTGGTACATTCATGATATATTGCAACATTGAGGGTCATCCCTGAAGCGTCACAGGTATTGAATCCCGTGTTCGACAAAGCAGAATTGATCTCTATATCCATGACACGGAACGTCAATTTTCCTCCCGTCTCTGCATTTCCAAGCGCCCGATCGACGCCATACACATCCAGAGCACGAGCACGTTACAAGTGTCGGCTGCGCGTTCTGGATATAGGCCAATCAATAGCTACGTCATGGGCGTCGCACAAGGGAACAAACAGCCCATACCAAAGAAAGTCCACATCGGTAGGGAATGTTTCTTGTTTCTCATCCCAGCCTCGCCATTGCATGTTCCGCCACTTTAAGAGCCTCATTCTATCAAGTTTTATCTCAGCCTTGTGCTGTCCCGGCACCACCAGTTGCTCTCCTCTCAGCCATAAACGCCCTCACCCCCTCTAACCGCGTCACAAAGAACAACCTCTTTGCATCGTCTTTCCACACCAAGACGCCAGTCTCATCGGCATACCGACAATTGGCCTCGTACTCTGCCCGGGTGGAGAAATCCCTGAAGAGAAACCCTGGTGTCGTGGTCATGCGGTCTCTTTCCAATTGCCACAGGTGGATCTGATCCAATATCGTCGCCGGCAGCACCGGCACTGTTCTCTGCGCCTGCGACTCTGTAGCGGTACCCCGGGCTAACAATGCGGCTTGTTCAGCCTGCGCGTGCCTCCTCATCTGAGGGTGGGCATGAGTTGTCAGATAAGAAATGATCTGATCGGCAGTGATGCCGGCCTGAACGGCTCGTTGAACGGACGATTTACTCATTTTCCCCGTGACAAGGTTCGGATGGCGAGAACGAAGATTTATAAATAGTGACAAGAGGGCGATTTGTAACGGGGAAGAAGTGTAGGCATAGACGCGGTAATTGGTTTCAACAATGATGAAGCCCTTTTGTGTGACGGTGCCGGAGGGCGTAGTTGTGCCTGACGAAGAGCTGGATGAGTATTTCTGGGAGAGTGACGTGCCGATGGTGAGGTTCGCTGTCGAGAGTGCCATGGCGGAGTCGGAGGTCAGCGTTGTAGCCAGGCGCGTCGGGTAGAAGTAATTGGCAGGAGTGACACCGTTGTCTGATGGAGGCTGATAAACGAGCCCGAGGGAAACAAGGTCGGAGAGGCAGCGCCGTTGGGTTTCGTCTAGAGTAGATGTGGAGTATGCGAGTCCTAGTTCTAGGGACGAGACAAGAAAAAGGAAGGAAAGGACGTCGACCTTGTCCATGTCGAAGACCTCGGCGTTGTCCACGTAGAGGAAAAGCAATGCCCATACTTGGGTATTGATGTCTTGCAGGACGAACGCAAAGCCTTCCTTTGTGATCTTGGCTCTTTGACCGTGACTATAGGCCCCGCTAACTTCGATGAGATGACCTGCCTTGAGGAGCTCAATGACTCCCGGAGCCGGTTCGATCGCTTGCTGCTCATTTGCCGTTTCGAGTGGAATCGCAGATGAGCCAACCATGTAGCCTAATATACCTTCCCATCTTTGACGAGAGTACTCATCCAGCTGCGATATGGTGACCTCGTCGCTTTCCGGGACCCTCGCGACCTTTCCGAATGACCGACTGTCTCCTGCTCCCGTCAAAGCGCGACGGAGGGATTTGGCAAAGTCCGATGTCAACGCATATGCTTTTGTCGAGTTGAAAGTGACATCTCGAAATATGTGGTAACGATGAAGTAAATCCAAAGCATGCTCACGTTCGCCCCTGCTGGTGTCCTGAACAAACTGTTCCAGTTGTTTCGCTGGCATGGGACGGGGCATGTACAACAGCATCAAAACAAAGGACTTTGCCAGTGCTGACAGCCGTTTTCTGAAGATCGCTAAAGCAGAGGACGGACTCCTGTAAAGGCGATAGAATTGCGTGCCTGGAAGCGTCTCGAGGTACTCCCACGACTGGAGGGTTGTGTCCGCCATGATTACCGAGAACAATCAAAGAGCAAACTACCGCGACTCTCGGGATCTCTGTAAGCACTGTCACCGATCTATCATCTTGGTCCGCCGATGGACAGATTTCGAGGTGACGGCGAGAGCAACGGGAAGTCCAAGTGATAGCAACTCGAGCTGGAGTCCATCGATCTAGGCTGGAACTGAGTTCAAACAAGTCAAAAGTGCCAAGACAACTATGCCTTTTGTGGGACAAATTCCCCGCTGCTATGGATAATAATTCTCTGATGATGCTGTGGTGGAGCAACTAGCTTTGTGCTCAACAAGCTACAACCCATGCGATAGAAAAGGACCTCGAGCACAAATGTACAAGATTCATCCCTCGGAGAACACTCTGCGATACTTCCCGAGGCACATTGCTGCATCAGCTTTCGCTCCTCGAACGAGACACCTCATGCTGATGCCACCACCGACTGAGTACTGCAGATGATATACCTCCCCAGCCTTCCATTAGTGCTGCCTCGAATTCCGTCCTTGGCTTCTCTAAGGCTGCTAGTATAGTTGCATTGTCTGAATGGTATCGTGCGAGGTATAGGCAAATCGCCTGTCCCTGGACAATACATCGAGACGAAACCCACCAAGCGCCTCTGCAAACCTTCATATACCAATATACAAGCATGAGCAACGCCCAAGGATCTTTCTGCGCAAGTAAGGACTTATAAAGAGGATCCATGTGGTTGACAAACCCAAGATACCTCAACCAAGTGGAGTCATTGCATTCAAGGTCTAGCAAGGGCAAAAGTTGATGTGCAGTTTTGTAATAGGGGTTGGCGGCTGCTGAGGGTGATGCGGGGTCCTCGGCGCAAAGATGATCGAAGATTGAAGGAAGATGTTCTGGAATTTTGCACGCAGGCATCTTGTCGCGATCGAATATGTGGGTCACCTTTCGCCAAAGGCTGTCATCTTGCAACGGGCTTGCTAGTCGCCAGATGGTTTGTTTTCCATCGCTCAAGTTGAGCCATGCCATGTCACCGTCCTGCAATGGCCAAACGTCTTCGACAGACGATGCCTCAAGATTGAAAAAGCTCACGACGCCGAGAATCGAAGAGGCGACGAGTAATGCATCCCCCTCCTCAGGTCTAATAGGCCGTGAAAGAATGCTCTGAAAGGCAATCAAGGCTTGGTTCAGATGGTAAGCCTCGGATGTGCTCGGTCGCGAAGTAGCCACTCCGCACAAGTAGCGATCGTGGGACGCCGTCACGGCCTGCGTCAGGTGCATGAGGAAGGGGTGCGTACACGCAAGCCGGATGATCTCTTTCTGGAAAACCCGGGCAACTCTCTTGGTGCCGATGGTGAGAACTGTCCTCGTTTGGAATCTGTCTAGTCGCGCCAAGTCAGATCTGTCGAATCGCATGACTTCGCTTTGCGATCGTGGTCCATGGCTGTGTTCTTCCAAGCAGACATTCACCATGTCTAAGATAGGCTTAGTCGTCGCCAGTGGGGACTTTTCCACCATAGAGTCCAAGCAGACAACTTTGGAAGTGACGGTTCGAGGTTGAAGATCAGGTATACTAGGATCATAGTTGCATATCACGCCGTATTCCAGACACTTCCCACACATTGGACGGACCTCATTGCATTTGACTCTGCGTAATTTGCAATTGCGACAGCCTAGTCTGGACTTCTTGTGAGCCCTTCGTTTGCGAACTGTGATATCGCCGCTGGCAGAAGCCGGCGCGGCTGCTTGACTGGTTTGGGCTGTCATTGTCATTAGACGCTTCCGGAAGAATGATTATATCTTGCGACAGGCGGTGACTCGGTAAGGGCGACAATAATATGCGTATCTGGTGGAACAACAGTTCGCCCCCAGGAGACTGATCGATGAAGTTGTTGGTTGTCCGTTACTGAATGTCCGAGTTACCTGAGACACAGCTGCCTGCCTGACGGTAGAAAGGGAGGAAACGTCATGGAATTGTCGGAGTTAGCAGCATCTTAGCGACAAAGGCAGGGATTGATAGACTTAACACTATGAGAAAGCAAGGAATAGTCCATGGAGCAAAGGGTCCCAAATCAGGCCCTAACTGGCTGACCATGAACACCGACTTGCGGGGGCAGGTTCTACGCTAACCTCGACTCGTATTTCATAGGTCTGAAACTGAGGTTGGCCGCTCAAAGCTGCTCGAGGCGGAAAACATGACAACTTTTAAGCTCTGTGCTTCCACCTTGCATTCATGGTGGAATATGTCAATGGATATCAGGGAATTCGACCGGGCACAAGTGTTGAGGAAGAGGGAGAAGAGGAAAACGGAAGGGCACGAGGGCGCTAGGGCGGAAATGCGATACGGCGGAGCAGATGGCAACACTCAGTCCGGCGAACCATATCCCTCACCGGCTGCAGTTTCCAAGATTTCATTCTCACTTCATTGCGTCTCGGGTCGACGACCACTCACTTGATATCGCTGGTGTCTTTGCTTGGTTTGGGCTTGGGTTGTGTTGGACGGTGACCCAGACTCTTATTGACGCTCTAGAGTCTGCAGCTGTTGCGGGGTCCGGTATTCGACTAGCTTTACGAGTTGCGGCCTCAAGGGTGCGGCAGCGACACAATGGCGGCACTCAAGTTTGTCCGCTCGGTGAGTTTCCATGGCTTTGCAAGCTTGGGGCGGGTTCAAGCTGAGACTCTACAGGTTTGGGAATCATTTAGAGCAACGTCGGGGGTTGAGCCACGGTAATGCGTTCCAGGGATGACCAAAAGTACTCACGCATTAAGCCTGCCGAACAACAGGTTGATAGATGGCGTAAGTATCACTCGGGTCGCACAAACGCACCAAGCCAGTACACGACTTCTCAAAGAGCTCTGCGCAACCTTCAGCGGATCTCAGGCTCACTTCCCTCCGTTCAGATGCGGATAACAGCGGCGGAGCCTGGCAAAGTCAACTTTGAACTACCCATTGAAAAGCAACACACAAACCGGCTAGGTATACTGCACGGTGCCACGCTTGCCACCATGGTCGATACCAGCGGCTCACTTGCTCTGGCTTCTCGTGGCCTATATTCGACAGGAGTTTCGACAGATCTCAATGTAACCTACCTCAACGCCGGCGGAAAGATTGGTGATTTGATCAAAGGCGAAGTCATCTGTGATAAGTGTAAGATAATTGCTATTTCTCCCCCCCCCCAAACAGCTGTGAGATGTACTGATCTCTTCAAGTTGGCAAAACTCTTGCATACACATCGGTCAAATTTATGAACAAGAACAACGAGATCGTGGCTCGAGGAAGCCATACAAAATTCGTCGCCCTCGCGTGGAAAGACGAGAGGAATATCACTGGGGAATTGGAGCCGGAAGTTAGCGAATCTCAAGCTAGAGAAGTGACACGAACAAGTTTCAAGTGACCTGGACAGTCGCCCGATCATTTGAGCCTGTATAGAATTCCCGGAAAGACATGTACATAGGTGTAGACCCCATAGCCCAGAGCTAGTAGACGCGATATCCAGGGTAGCACACTGCATCTTTATGAGGTATTCCTTGCAATATGAACTAGGCAATATCTTCAATTGTCTCACCTTATGGCGTAACATACAAAAGGTGACAATGGACTGTTCAAGAGGCGACAAAGTCATCATTGTCGCGAGGCAACGAGCCATGGTCAAAATCCCGACGAAGGGGAACATCCCCCATGGCCTTTAATTCTCTCATGCTCCTGTCCTGTGAAGACGCCGACTTAGGGCTGTCCTTCGCTATGTTTGTCGCGTTGGGGGGAAGGCTGGGTCGTTAGGCATGTTTTGGGCAAGAGAGTTGAGAGTCACCAGAGAGCAGGAGGTGAGCGGAGGCGCAGGCCCCTGATAAAGCGGCGAGAGGCTGTTGTCGCCTTGCCTTGTCTGGCCTTAGTCCTGAGTGGTTGGTTTGGCGCAGAGAGAGATGGGCGACGTCTGGGTGTATTGAGTTAGATTTGGGTCAAACCCACGATTAAATGCCTACTCTTTACATGAACCAAGAGCTTGCCAACCACAGCACTTCCATTGTTGAAGCTCTTCCCCGAAGAATACCTCTACTCCTCCTTAGAACATGAAGCAGATTGCCTGACGTCGACATGCCCCGCGCATCAAAATCCACGCGACACTCGCCCGGGCTTCCCTCTTCGACTTTCGTTCTCGACAACGGTGGCTATAGCATCAAGGCTGGTTTCGCACCTTTAGAACTCGTGGGGGACACGGAAGCTCTGCTGAAATGTCATATTATCCCAAATACCCTCGTCCGCAGCCGTGAAAGAAAAGTCTACGTTGGTTCGCATTCGGAGGAAATCACACAATGGAGCGAAGCATTGTTTCGCCGTCCTGTCGAAAACGGCCAAGTCGTGAGCTGGGAGGCGCAAAAAGAGATATGGGATCAATCTTTCTTCAATGAGCGGACTGCTCACAAGGATTTGCTGGTTAAGAGTCCCGAGGACACGACCTTGATTTTCACAGAGCCACCCAATACTATGCCCGCTTTTCAGAAGAATGCGGATGAGATTATCATGGAAGAATGGGCATTTGGAGGCTATTCAAGGGTTATTGGTAGGTATGGCTGAGCCAGAGACAATTTGGGTGATGGAAGATGTACTGATGTCTAAGCAGGCCCGTCACTTAACGCCTACAACGATCTTCATCCACTCTTCGAAGGGCCCTCCTATACGAAGCCAGACAACAACCCTATGGCTAGCCTACCAATGGAATGCGTTCTCGTGATTGACAGCGGTTACAGCCATACCACAATTACGCCGCTGTTCAACGGCCGGCCATTGCACCGAGCAATTCGACGTTTAGATTTTGGTGGTAAACATCTCACGAATTTGTTAAAAGAAGTCATCTCCGTTCGCCACTTCGATCTGCATCAAGACACCAAGATCGTCAATGACATCAAGGAAGATGTCTGTTTCGTCAGCAACGATTTTCGAAGAGACCTGGAGAAGACATGGAAAGGAAATAAAACGCGGCAGAAATCGACACCGTCGAAACCCAAGGATTCTCACGGAGTCAGGGATACTGAACAGATGGTCTCCGCCGAAGACGAGGAGATTCGAGTCGACTACATCCTCCCTGATGGCATACGCGTTCTTCGGGGGTTCAGCCGGCCTCACGATCCGACCCCCACCGCTGCACGGAAGCGAAAACAGGCCGCCCTTTCCTCTGAACCAGACGCCGAAATCTCAATGACGTTGGGAAATGAACGTTTCTCTGTCCCGGAAATCATCTTCTCACCCGGTGACATAGGCTCGAAACAGCCCGGTTTGCCGGATATTGTGATGCAATCGCTGAGCGTCCTCCCGCCGCTCGTGCAGGTCACCATGCTAAGCAACGTCCTCCTAGTCGGCGGAAATGCGAGAATTCCTGGCTTTCTGGAGAGACTCGAAGCAGAGTTACGCACGAGGGTGAAGACGGAATGGATGGTTCGCGTCCGCAAGATGTCCGATCCCGTTACTTCGACGTGGCTTGGTGGCGCCAGGCTGGCGAATGGATTTCCTGAGATTGTCCGAGAGTACGGTGTTACGAGAGAAGAGTATCTTGAGCATGGCAGTGCATGGGTTGCTAGGCGGTTTGTGAGCGGTGGGAGCGGGAAAGGCCCTTGAGGAATTGTGAATTTCACCTTGCAATATGGGCTGGTGCACGAACGGGAGCGATGAGCAGCACCAGGCCCATGTGCGAAGTGATCGACGTACAGATCCAACGACGACCACTGGATGGCATCCATATGCCCTGTGCGAGATACTGACATGTCTCAAAGCGCCCACCTTCGTGCCCGTCTGATGCAGCTGAGTTGAGCAGCGTATCAGCAATGTCCTGTCCAGAGAGCTCAACAGGGTCCTTGAGCCTGCTTCCTCTGTAGCCACCGATCACAGCATGCCACTGCCAATACTATGCAACTACCATGTTGCCCAAGATCCGCGGATTCCGCCTATACCATAGGAATTGCCACTCGGACGGAAAAGGGATCGCAAGCAACAGAACAATGCCTCGGCAGCGAGTCAATTAAGCGCAAACCCGCTGGCTAGGTACCCCGTTTTTCTGGACCGAGCTGTGTGCCTGTCATCGGTCCCGGACGGACGGAGGGAGGGGGCGTGTCCGGTCCAGTTCCTGGTCGTATAGAAGCCTCCGTGTTGATATGTTTGGGTTGAGCCGGAGATGAGGGTGATGGCGGACGGCTGAGGGTTGGTCAGCGCGGGCTGCAGCCACGCATAATGGCGCGCGGAGACGATGGATAATGTCAGGGAGCCGAAGCATCGGGAGATTCGACTTCACACAAAAAGGTTGTGGAGAGGTGGTCACCTTGGGCTCCACAGGCGCGGGAGCAACAGCAAGCATTTACTGATCGAGTGATGTCGGTAGGAACGGTTCGCCAAAAATACCTTGCACGATGGGCGAGGACTACCCCCAAAAATCGGAAATGGGATGAATCAACGGACCCATAACCCTACAGGTTTGGATGAGTTCATGAACCAGTTCCACGCATGCATCAACCCAAGGCACGCACCCGCTGCAAACAAGGCGCGCCGCAGGAAATACGAGCCCTGACGAGCGTCGGTGTGGTAGGGATTGATCTCTGCTTTCTGCCCTTGGACTGTAGCTTCAGGGCCGTCGCCGTCGCCGTCCTCCGTCGGCTCTTCCTCGCTTGTGTCCGGAACCTCTTGATCCTCCAGACAGTACTCGCTTCCATCTGGGTCCCAGCTCTCCTCATCTGCCTTGACCTGCGGGAACAAAAGGGACGCAGACAGGATGGTGCCTGGAGTGACGGACCACAAGAAGCTGAGGAGGGACGACGAGGATTGTGTTTGCCTGAAGGTAGTTGAGTGTTGAAGAGACACGAGAGGCATGTCATGATTCATCATCCCAATGGCGCCTGGATATTCACGTGATCGAAGATGCTCCCTCTGCCTTTTTTGCCCGTACGTCCTTCCACCTTCCTTAGTCAGAAACCCGAACATCTCGCCCAATGGCCTCCCCTGCGCCAGCCCACCCCGCCGTAACCAAAGCGTACAAACGGCGCCCTGTCTTCGGTGCCTCGAGCAGAAATGGCGCGGAAGCCAAACTGGATTCAAATTTGCGAATACGTGCGAGGGCGCCATTCTCTGCTTTGAACCCAACAATCAACAGTTGTCATTGGCTGCGGCGTACTGGGTACATTGGTCTGTCTGCATTATCCTCGCTGTCTTTCGCTCTTCTTTGCAGAAGTTTCAGAAGTTAGAACCGCACAACAAGTCGTCCTCCTCCTTCTTCCTGCACAACGAGGCTAGAGATCATCTTTTCGGTCACGATGGGGTGGAGCTTACAAACAAACAAAGAAAGGAAAGGTGGCAATGAAGAAAAGGCGGGAAACAGCATGGAAGAACCGGTAAGAGGCGAGGAGGGTAGGATGAGAGGCACGAGGCCGACAGAGAGATGCTGGGGCTCATGAGTCAGATCAGCCGTCACTCGTTACTCGTTACTCGTTACTCGTCCGAATCCAACTCAAAGGCGTCGAGACTGGACATGGATGATCCGCCTCTCCACCGCATCCACCGCATCCACCGCATTCACCGCGCCTAGTCACTACGTGTGTTTAGAGTCAGAGGATGAACATTAACCTATCACCAGATCGAGTCATACCCTCCAGTTGCCCTGCAATGCGTTATGCATGTAGCCTGAGCATATTGGACTGCGGGAGACCAGGCCACCACCAAAGGTCCAGCATTCTGTCAACCATCTGCCGCTGCCCCCGTCTCATGGCTGTCTATAAAGGAGCCCGAAGCCTTCTGCCTGAGTTTTGAGGCTTTCCCTGCTCTTGCACATCTACGCACCAATTCATTCAGAACTTCTCGAAGGAAAAAGCTTACTTCAACTTCCTTGACTTGGGACTCTCCCACTTGCCTGCTGAAAGCCATTTGCACCCGGATCCGTCAAGATGCCTTCAGATTCTAAGCTCAACGTGTCGTTCGACGCTGCCTCAGTCTCGACCTCCTCCCTCATGAGCGAGAAGGAACGAGCCCAACAGGAGAAGAAGCCTTCGCTGGTCAAGAGGGTCGTAACTGGTAAGACATAGATATACCTGTTGCCTACCTAGTTCTGCCCGAATTCGTTCCTTTCCTTCTCCTTCGTCCTCTGTATGCAGTTGGAGACGAATCGTGAAGGCTGACCGACCTCCTTGACCCTGCCAGCCATCAAGAACATTGAGCCTCCCGAGCCAAGAATACCAGAAGGCAGACACGAGCATATGCCGGCTTGGTCGAGGTGAAATGTGCGTTGCTCGTGTCTCTATTTCTGGCTGGGGGGAAAAAAAAACACTCTACCTCCACCATGACGGGATATAGAGAGAGGAGTTCCCCAGGGAGCGGTCCACCGGCAATGGCATAGGATCGAGAGCGTGGCATGCGGGGGAGCTGGCGGAGAGAAGGCATGCAAGGCTATGCGGAATGCCGTTGCTGGTGCACCGTGATCCTGGGAAGTCCATACCATAAGAGCATAGCGTTGTGCTGGCTTAGGTAGTCTATATTTTTGCCGGGCTGAGATGGTTGTCTGGATAGAAGGGCACGGCCGAGGCACCAGTGTCTTGTACGCTCAATGATCGTGCCAGGATGAATGCCATGGTAGTCTGGTATAGCCTTCTACACCTCTGAAGTGGACTCAGCCCCAGGAGCCACGAGAACAAAGGGCAATAACAGCAGACTCGCGGTCGGACATTTAGAAGACAAGTTCTGAGCCAGTCATTCGGAGGAAGATCATCTCAATTTCTCGCGACACATGCACATCTGTGCAAATTGCTTCTCTGTCTCGTCAGGCGACCTGAAAAGAGTCCATCCGGGCCTCAGCACGGCGAATTGATTCTCGTCCGGTAGGCCCTCGTAGATGACAGAGCAGGTTGCTTGTCTCTGGAATATTCATAACACACCGGGTGGATGTCCTTTTCCGTCTCCAAGACTGTTTCCCCAAGCCCGCCTCTCTGTTCTTCCAGCTCACATCGGATCTCGACCTGGCAGCTCCTGCGTCATTCGTTCCGTGCTTGTGGCTCGCGCTTAATCATCTTCCCCTTCTTTGCACACGCGGCAATACAGTCGTGCGGTCCAGCGCTGCTGCCTGTCCCGAACGATGGTACGCGCCCATAGATGGCCTGAGCGTTCAATCCGCCCCCGATGACAGTTCCGGAGATGTTCTGTGGAAACGAGAAGAATGCGTTGGCCAAGTTGGTGGTCCCAGTGTCGTCGGAGTTGAGAGCTGAGATCAACTGCGCGTTCTCGCAACCAATGTTCATCATGGTGTGGATGGAGGCCTGCGGGAAGATGGTCATCTGGCCTGCTTGGAGGATCTCGGTCACCGTGCGGGCGCCGTTCTCTGCAATCATGTATGTTTGTGTGGTCCCCGAGATAGCGACGACGTAATTGGCGGCACGTGGGTGAAGGTGCGGCGGGAGCATGGAGCAGGGGCCCAGGTTGAGCATGGACTTTGATTGAGAGTCAGTTCCATCCTCAGAGAGACGTGGCGTTCATAAGAAATAGGCGGACCTTACCATCGTCATGCCTTGGCCGGTAGCTGCCGGGAACGTAGCAGAATTGGCGTTGATCACTCCCCCAGGCGAGAAGGTGTACTTGTCCTGCTTGGTGAAATCAAACAACCAGTCTGCATCATCTGGGAGCAAGGTCATGCGGTCGAGGTTGGTGTTGGCCAGGCGAAGCTTAGCGACGAGGTCCGCGTTCTTGTCAACGTCGACAGCAAACGCCACAGAGGCAACAACGGCAAAGGTTATGAATCCGAGTCTGAGGAACATCGTGGCAAAGGTTCTGAAGCTCAGACGGCAATGACGACAGAACGGGTGTAAAAGCTGGACAGTTCTGAAGCAACCTTTTGGAGTTCAACGGCAGCTGTTCGCTTCTCTGACTGTGCAAGATTGTCAAAGAGGATAATTTTGCTCTTACTAGACTGATAGGCGGAGAGCCGATTGAAAGAGGATTGCCAGGGTCTTCTTGACAGGGTGAGGCAGGATGACCATTGCAATTTCAAGCCAGGGTCATTTCGAAGGTTGGCCTGAGAAGAGAGTGAAGTGAAGAGCCAACTCACCTCACATGTGTCTGGTCATATTGTCGCTTTAAACCCTTAGTCCAAGGAAATGATCCTCCTGGTCGTCTCGACTCTTTGCAGATATTCCCCTGATGTGGTAAAGAGGCCTCTGCTTGAGCACCCAATTGATTCTGGGTGTTACTGGCCGGAAATGCTTCTCTTACCAACCCTGAAAACATCCCACGATCGCCATGAGTTGGGCCACGTTCGCGCGCCAGCCCAGATATTCAACCAAAGATGACCCGGTCAGCACCACTCTGCATGTCTTATCATCGACAAGTTGCTGACGCCTCGCTGAACATCAATTCGGACTGTAGCGGCCGAGTATGCAGTTGACCTTCCAGCAAGAGAATCATCGTCCAGTAGCGAGATACTCATATCGACTCCCAGGATGGCAGAGACAAAACCTTACCATGGCGCGTGTCTACCTTGAGATCAGCTCCCCATAGAAAAAGGCGGCACACAGCATTGAAAAGAGGTGATTATTGGGAGATGGAAAGTCACCGACTCGACAGGCTTCCAACTTGCGAACGAGGAGGGATGTGCCGGACAAATGTAAGAGCTTTTGCTAGAATGATCTGGTTCGAAGAAGGATATCAGGCCACGAGTATTATTGCTTTTGTTGACCTGCAATTGGCCATCGTCGACTCGTCTATGCAAGAGGAACGGGGGATCCAAGAAGCTGCAGCTAGCTCTGTTGTTCCCAATATCGTCAGGAGCGATTTTGCCAGACATGCATTAGCAAAATGGCGCAGCCAAAGCCAAAGAGACAAGAATATGCTGGTGTTTGTGGGAGAACTCAGATGAGAGCAGAAGGAAGTGCAGAGGGAAGAGAACTGAGGCTGCAGCCTTGCCGATGCAGATTTTAGGTCGCCATTCGCAGGCAAACAGACTCGGCAATCTCAGCCTCGCCTCCTCAAGTACGATTCATCCACCTTCACCGCGGAGTACCAGGTACATACCCATCACTGTTCATAGGCTTATACTAACTTACTCTATAGCTGGCTCTTTCGTTGTGTCCTCGTCGATAGGCTACATCGAGACAGAGTCATGTTCACCAAGGCTTCGCCATCCCGCTCGTGGGTGAGCTGCCGTCATGGCTCTCTTGAGTCTTTGGCCCCAATGAAGTGAAAAAGGACCCAAAAAGCTGCCACCTACTACAGTTGCCATTCATCTAGACTCTGTCTTCCTGTGCCCTGCCCCAATCGCCAAAAAGGGATACCCAGTGTTTCTTATTAATACTACAACCTGGGTCTGCCAGAAGCGTCTCCCTGTTCGCCTTGGTGGCCTGGTCTCCCTCCCGCCGGTCCGCGTCTTTCAAAACAGATCTGTGACAGCCCCATGACTGGCATCACTAACCAATGCCGCATATTTTGCCAGTGTGCCCCTGGTTACCGTCGGCCTTGGAGGTTTCCACTCCTTCCGGCGCCTTTCCAACTCCTCATCGCTAACTTCCATGGAGATAGTGTTCGACTGGGCATCAATCGTCACTTCATCACCATCCTTGACCAACGCAATAGGGCCTCCAACCGCCGCCTCTGGGCAAACATGGCCCACGATAAATCCGTGTGATGCGCCAGAGTACCGTCCGTCCGTCACAAGAGCGACGTTTGTGAGTCCTGCCCCCATGATAGCTGCACTGGCCTTGAGTTGCTCTGGCATTCCCGGTCCACCTTTGGGCCCTTCATATCTTACTATCAGCACAAGATTCTCCCCACGCGGTATCGCGCCTCTGTTCAACGCGTCATTCAGTTCCACTTCCTTTTCGAAACACCTTGCCTTCCCTGTAAAACGAAGACCTTCTTTCCCAGTAATCTTTGCCACCGCCCCTGCAGGTGCAAAGTTGCCCCTCAAAATTTGGATGTGTCCGCTCTCCTTGATAGGACTGTCTAGGCTCTTGATGATGACTTGATCACTGGGCAAGCTGGGCCAACTGGCGACATTCTCGGCCAGGGTCTTGCCCGTCACCGTTGGGATAGAGCCGTCGAGAAGACCGGCTGCGATGAGGAGTTTCTGCACACTTGGCACGCCTCCAATCTCATACAGATCGGCCATGGAATACTTTCCTGATGGCGCGAGGTCTGCAAGGAATGGTATCTTATTGCTCACGCGCTGGAAGTCGTCGAGTGTGAGCTCCACACCGGCCGTGACGGCCATAGCGAGTAAGTGTAGGACGGCATTGGTACTTCCTCCTAGGGCCATGGTTATGACGAGAGCGTTCTCGAAGGATTTATTTGTTAAAAGTTTCTTCGGCGTGATGTCCTGTTCCAAACAGACTTTGATGGCGTCGGCGGCTTTGGCGCATTCGCGCATTTTGGCTGGTGAGCTCGCTGGTGTCGAACTCGATCCGGGCAGTGTCAACCCCATTGACTCGATTGCCGTGGCCATCGTGTTGGCAGTGTACATGCCGCCGCAGGCTCCAGCACCAGGACAAGCATGTCTTTCTAAGTCTTCCATGATCTCATCTTTGGTCTTGGACGTGTCTCCGCCGTCGTCTGGCTGACGCAAGGTGTTAAATGTGTAAGCACCGAACGCCTCGTAACAGGTGGCAATGTTGACGGGCCTGCGCAAAGTCTCTGAGTACCCTTTGTCAATCGTCCCTCCATAGATCATCAGACTCGGTCTGTTATGCCTCGCCATCCCCATGATGCAACCTGGCATGTTCTTGTCACAGCCGGGAATAGTGATGTTGGCATCATGGGCTTGAGCGCATGTCACTGTCTCGACGGAGTCCGCAATGATCTCCCGCGTTTGCAGGCTGAATCGCATACCCTGGTTTCCCATGGTGATGGCATCACTTACACCAATGGTGTTGTACTGCCATCCCAGCATTCCGCGTGCATTGACAGCTTTCTTGACCTCCTTGCCCAGGTCAAGAAGGTGCATGTTGCAGGGATTTCCTTCCCACCAAACACTTGCGATGCCCACATGAGGAGCAGTCTGCATCGCGTGCCTATCTGGCACACCCGCGGCGAAGAGCATAGCCTGTGCCCCTGGGAAATCATGCTGGCGGGTTAGGTGGGTGGAGTAGCGATTTAGCATGGGTTTGCCATCGACGCCGGTGGGCTCCGAAGAGTGCACAAAGTCGAGGTAGCGGGCTTCCTGGAAGCCGCCTGTTTTGTCCATATTGAGGGTAGGCTACTGTTCAGAGCCTACAAGGTAGAAAGCTTGTGGCGGAAGGGTTCGTGAGAACGAAATATATACAAAACCACCCCTCGGTGAGAAGATCGTCTGGACCAAGTGCGGGGGGATCTCGAGCTCTTGACAACGATTGCTGTTGGTATGTGGAACTCCAGAGAGAAATCGTTGTGACTGAAAATTTCGAGGCAAAGGAAGAAGAGCCTTCGAAATGCAAGATGTTCCGTTGGCAGCACTCATTGCTCACAACGGGGACTGAACTCCCCTGTCTTCCCCACATTTTCCTAGCGGTTCCTCGGTGTTGATGCCGAACGAGGGGTTGCGAGCTGATGAGGTTGGAGGGGCCAAGGGGGTTGACAAGGCTGCGAGGCTGTGGTTCATAGGCCCGGGGAGTTCTCTTATTTGCCGTGTTTGTCCAGGCTGTCGTCTACACCTGACGCATGTCACACATATCCATGGAATCAGCAAGCAAGAAATTCACCTCCAAATTGGGTAATAGAATCATAAGGTAAAATGCCACCACTACTCTCACAAGAGCAGCGACAGAGGAGATGGGCCCCGAAAGTTAGAACTGGGTGCAAGACTTGCAAGTAAGTACGGAGACATCTCGATTCTTCCCGGCTCAACGGCAGCTGCGGGATCCGACGAAAACGCTGCGACGAAGGGAAGCCATATTGTATGAGGTAACGGTGACCCAGCCTCGACTTATCTTGCTCTTATATCGATCTAGATGTGTGAAAGACAAATTCCGTTGTGATGGATACGAACCGCCGAAGACCTGGTTGTTTGAGCCATCTCACAAAGACAAGAGCGGCCTCCTTGAGCCAGATGCCCGTTCGTTGCAGCCATTGTGGCCAAATAACCCTGACTATGATGGCTTTCGGACAGATGACAAGTCTCTTACATCCCCAGCGACGTCCAGCAATAGCAATCGGGCTTTCACCCAACTCTCCAGATTGCTTCTCGAACCCTCGAGTCCATGGACAACGGATGTGGACCAAAGCTACACCCAGCTCTTCCTCCTTAAGACAGCTCCTCTTCTTTCTTCTACTAGAAGGTGGCACCACTTCTGGAGATTCATTATCCCTCAAGCTGCTTGGGAGAACCCATCAGTCCATCATGGAATGGTGGCGGCTGCAGCGACTTTTGACTCCTATCTATCCGGCGCTGATCACACCGCTTTGATATTGGAACAGAGGGCTCAGGCTATCCGTGCATTCACATATCGACCTCCTTCATGGGATGTCGCGTTGATCGTCTGTCGATTGTTCTCCTCGATGGCTCAATGCAACGAGGATTTCAAAACCGCTATGGTGCACATGAAAAGCGGAGAGAAGATGCTCAGGGAAGCGATACAAAATGGACAGACCCGGTCTGAAATTGTTCGGTTAATGGACGCGACGTTTATGGGTCTGTCGGTCGATGCAAATAATGATGTAAATGTCATCAAACGATTCCCTCCGGCAAAGCGCCGTGCTTTTCTCAAGCTCAAGAATATGGGTTCCGACTATGCAAGGCTTCTACGGCGAATAACGCAAGAGCACCACCGTGTCATCGAAACTCCGACGCTTGGATTCCTATCAATCGCTTCCACCACGATGAACCAAGCGATCAGCTCTACCATGTACCCGGACATATTAGTGTTTTCTGGAGATGATGGAATCGTCCCCGCAGCGGAGATCCGCACTCAGTTGGCGCGGGAGGATTCTGTGTTAAGTCTTGACGACATGACAAAGATGTATCCATCTTTATTCTGTGGGCTAGAGGAATATTTCGAAGCGCAGGGTGTGGCCAGAGTTGCTCCCATGCCATCGTCTCTCGGCGACCTGAAGAAGCGACTTAAAGCGTTCGTGGATAACTACGTCGTACGAGCATTAGAAATCGAGCCCCGAATGATGGCTGGCATGTTCTGGCTCGACGATGAAGCAATTCCGGGGTGCTTGATGGACAATCACCTTGGTCGGCCTCAGATTGGCATTAGCCCATCTCTCGGTCAAGAGCGTGCTTCCCGTCCGGAAGACCCTGTTCTACGCGAGAGAAGACAGTACTACCATGAGGATGTCTGTCAGTACAGGAGCGGCTTTATGTGCTGATCGTTCAGAATGTTAGGGAAGACGGACACGAGGGACCTCTTCTCCGGAAACAGTGACTTCGCTCCGTGGAGGATGCATCGATGTTTCTGCAAGCATCAGACGAAAAATCATCTTAGATGCCTGCGAGGGCCTTCCTGAGCAGCCCCTGTCAGATGTCTACTCGGGACCTGCAGAAATGCCTGCAATGGCACAGCAACAAACTGGACAGCGACTGGACAGCTTCTTGGCTGCGCCCGAGTCGCGATGCAGCTTGCGCTTGTTCGACCACAGCATGCCATGTCCAAACCCGAGCCCTTTAGCCTCGCGATTCTATCATCTCATCATGTCTATTTCATGCAAGCTGCCTAGCGACCTCCGACTAATGTCCCATAAGTATACATGCAATCGTTGCGCTGCATTCTGTGGCAGAAACAGTCTCACTGCGGGAACTGGACACTGGCGAGGTCAGCATTGCGATGGTTCCATTATCTGCTCTGAGACTAGCCAACCATCAATAGTTCGGAGGTGGGGGCTGAAACAAAGGCCGTACCGCCATCTGTTATATTGTTTAGTGCCAAACCCCGATATAATACTGGGTATGGAGTACGGACTCCTGAGCGCCTCTTTACCAGTACGGAACACCTACATCACACAATGCCCGGCGGCACGAACAACCATTCAAGGTCCTGTCCCAAATGACATGCCATCCCGTCCCATCACATCCCGTCTCGTCTACGAGGACGCAGTTGAAAATTCCTACCTTTATTTTATATACCTACCTCCTCACCCGTGTAATTCTCACTGTCGCGATCCTCCACAGGCGCGAAGCGGCGCGGATCCCGAATCCAAGACCCCCAAGTCTAAACAACGGGTCCAGAACCCGATGTGTATCCCTATCCCTAAGTATTTATGCCTCATCATGACTTATACTCCGTATTATGATTCCAAATAGTCATGTATCCCGGTAAGGGGCCTTCAAAACGCCCCTGAGACGCCCAGGAGCGGCTGGAGATAGAGGATTCTCGAGCCAACCGGATTTACAAATCGTCACGGTCAAGGACATGGATACCCACAAGGGAAAAGAGACTCGGGAGGATCTTCCAATAATCTGATGGCTTTGGTCGCTAACTGACAGCCTTTTTCAAAGTGATCACCTTGTTCATTGCAATCCAATCCAGTCCAACACACTGCAGAGTCTATTCGCGTCGACGCTTTCCCAAGCGAACGTCTCCGTTCAAGCTCTCCCCAGCTCTCGTTTCTTGCCCCCCGCAGTCTTCCCCCATTTTCTCTTTTCTTTTTGTCATGTCACATGGTAATCTGCCGGTTCTCTGGGTATCTTTGATGGCTCCTCACTCCTTTGTCATTCCCATCAGCAGATGTTTCAATAGGCGGTACACAATAATTTGAAGACACAGCACTTTTCCATCCCTCCTTCCAAGAGTCGCTAGAAGAAGTAGAAGCAGACAAGATCGGAAAACACACAAATGGTCGTTAAGGAGAGACATGAAGGGTATCAACTGTCCTGACCCCGAGACTCCATCACCGTTTACACAGTGCAACATCCACTAGTAGACCCCTTTTTTTTTGCTTTTCTTTTCATCTCATCGACTGTCCTTGACAGGATGTTCAATTTGATACGACTGATTCACCTAGCGTGAGCGCACAGTCTCTGCCAAAGATGTATCTACTGGCTGATGGAAGGGAAAGATGGAGCAACTGCTCAGAAGTCAGCATTGGAAGCCAAAGTCTTTAGACTTGGGTAAAGTACTCACTCTCCATAATTGCCGGTCCGAAGAGCACTTCGTTGTCGCTCAGGCTTCTTCCGGAAATATCCACAATCGTGATGAAAATGAATACTTGCCCGCCACCAATGCTTCCCGGGATGCTCACGTTGATACTTCCATCCCTTTCAAAGACAGCCTGAATGGACACGACCTCCAAACCGGTGATGAATGTCACGAAGATGATTTCGACCTGGGAGAAGTCGTGGCGGGATTTGGAGAAGTCGGGGACGAGTTGAACAGAAGAGCCAGCCCCGGGAGCAGGGCAAGATGAGAATGAGCCGCCGTTAGTGCGCGCCTTGAGAGCGGTGCTTCGGCGCTCAGGAGCGGCGGTGGCCATGGACATATCCATGGACGTGGTCGCTGATGCCATGTCCATAGTAGTGCTGGTGGTCTCCGTGGTGGACATATCCATAGTCGAGGTGGTCGAGGTGGTGTAAGCGGCAGCTGAGTCGGTGGTGGAGTCGGTGGTTGTTGTAGTGGTGGTGGTGGAGTCGGTGGTAGTTGTGGTGGTGGTAGTAGTGTAATCAGCGGTGGTCGAGGAGGTGTCATAGGCCACTGAAGTAGTTGAGTCCGTGACAGTTACATAGGCGCTGATAGTGTCTGTAGCACTTTCCATGTCGGAGACAACGGTAGCATAGTCAATGGACTCGGTGGAGAAACTACCACCATTCCCGCTCTCGTCGAAACAGGGTTGAGAGTTGACTTTCAAGCCGGGGAACGCGGTGAACGGCAATGGTGGGTTCGACGGAGGGCAGGAGACGATGAATTGTGAGGCAATGGTAAAGACCGAGTTGGCGTCAAGGGGCTTGCAAGGCCGCACGTTAGCACAACATATTCTCGGAACGATGTTTCGCCCCGAACACAGTTCAACTTACAGTGGTAAAAGGATTGGTTGCTGCAATTGCACCCAACGAGCTCCTCTGCGAACTCGTATGCAATGCCTCCGTGGCCATAATACTCGCAGCCACGGAGAGGATGTCCTTCGATCCGACAAATGGCGCAGCACCGAGATAAGCACTGGTTCCGACAGACTCCAAGATGGCGGACACAGTGACGAAGCTGGCAACGTCGGTCACCGGGAAACTATACTGGCATGGCTGAACGGGTTGAATGCCAGCAGATTCGATTGCTGCGATGAGAAATTCAACGTGCGCAGATTCGTCCGAAGCGATGAATTCCAGGTTGAGAAAGAATTCCTCGTCAAAGCCCGCATTGAGGAAGTCCTGCAGCTGGAAGCTACTGAATGCTTCTCTGTAGAAGGTGTTTTCGAGATGCTCGAGCTGTCCAGAAAGGGTTAGGTCATTGCGGACTGTCTCAGATGGGCCAAAGCGGTTACTTACAGTTAAAGCGAATTGCAAGATGGTGATATCAATCTCGGAGAATCGACCACCGCGTTTGGCCAAGTCGACAGGATGAGCCAGTGTTAAGCCAGCGAAGAGGGTGCTCAGCCCCGAAAGAGTGAATGCCTTCATTTTGGAGGAAATGAAAAAGGGATGTGTCAAGTGTGTTGCGCCGAGGGCAAAGGTATATGCGGATAAAAAGATGAATGAGAGTGTCCAGCACAGGTCAGAAAAGCGAAGCAGAGCTTGTCAAAAGCTTGAGGAAGAGAATGAAAGGCAGACTTATCAAAAGCCTTGGAGAAAAGAATGACTTGTCAAAAGTCTTTGAAGGAAGGACTTGAATGTAGATGCTGGTTGAACTGCTTGTAGAGGTGATATCGACCATAGAAAGGACGAGAATTATATACACAGACTCCAAGATTTAAGACACCTTCCAAGAAGGAAGCGTGAAGATCCGAGCATCGCTTGCTCGCTGATCCATTTCGGTAACCCGTACGGAGGTCATCCTGTCAGTAGAAGTGCTCAACTCACTACAAATTGTGATACCGGATAACAGAAGTCAGCCGTTTCAACCTCTCCAATGGTGTTGTATCAAGGAGGAACACCTCGGGCAAAGGCAAAGGCAAACCCTGTACGGAGCACATATGCCATTAACAGGGTAAGCACCAACGAGCCATCTTTCGGAAACTGCCAGTTGCCGAGCGACAGGCGTTCAGACGCTCGCATTGATCTGAACGAGCAAGATGGGTGAAAGGGGTGTTTGCGGGGGGTTCACACTTGGGCGAGATCTGGGTGCCTCAGTCTTGATCTCGAGAGACGGGCCAGAGCTCGGGTGGGTCGGCCCCTGTCCTCTTTTGGTAGAGCCACGGCGGCTTTGCAGAACCTCATGAAAGATTGCAATTTACCTGCGACACCGGAGGAGCTTGAGGAAGCGGTATGAGGCTGGGGGGGCGCGATTGCATGGATCAAGCCGTCTTCATTTCAATCGTGGCGGGATTTTGAACAAGCCGGGTTTGGAGAAGTACCAGCCACAATGGCTACTTGAGACAGCTCATGTCTCTCAGTGACTCAAAAATAAGTCGAAAAGAGAGATGGTGAGCGGAGGGTTCAGCAGCCGAAGGATGGTGAGGCTGTTCTGATGTTTCAGCGAAGAGAAGGCGCGACAATGCCAAGCCAGATCACGTGAAACAAAGAAAAGCTTGGCAGGAGCTTGGGCTCGGGGGTCTGATACTGCCAATGACAGTCACCTTCTTCGGGAGAACATGATGTCAGCGGCGCGACGATCGAAATCCGCTTCGGGCCTCACGCTCTTCCGGTCCATATTACCAGTCAAATGGGAGCTCGATCTTGTTTTGCCTTCGTTCAAACTTTGCCAGTCACTGCGCCGGTTCCTTGGTCAAAAGACCTTGACTGGCCCTGACATTCACACCATTACTACTTATGTTCGACATTCCCGGGACATTTGATTTTGACAATGGCTCCACTATGATGTCGGTGGTATTTTGCAGCGCGGCTGATGGTCAGATCCTTTCCTTTGCCATGATGAATGAGTAGCAATGGCCAGAACCTGGAAGAGCATGTGTCAATAGACTATAAAGATCAGCTGGTGTGAGCCCCGTGGTGCAGTCCTTTAGTGATTGGAGCGGATTCAAATCACCATTGTGTGGCCTTCATAGACAACCGAACCATTTCTGAGGAACAGTGTCTTAAGATTGGTCAAAATGAACACCCAAGGACAGGCAGCTGGACAGCGACAAGAGGACTACCTTGACAAGGGTGAATAAAGTTGATTTTATTCCCCTCTTCCGGCGAGGCATGGGACTAACGAGACTTCTCCTGCGCAGGCCTCGACGCCGTCGAGAAGAAGTTCGGCCAAGGTAGAGACACACGTTCTGTTTGCGTCATAGTATTCGGCTGCTCTGCTCTCACCGGCCTCCTATCGCGTTCCCCCGTTTTGCAACCCCGATATAGTTGGGAAAATGCATGATACTTGAAGCAATCTGCTGACGTCTTGGGCGATTGACCAGGAAAAATCGACCCCGCCAAACAAAGAAGTTTGAATGAGAAGGTCACCGACAAGGCGAGAGATATGTTTGAAAAGGCTACGGGCAAACATGTCCCTGATAAGGTGCGTTGCGCCCCCTTCAAGCAGAGAAAGTTCAGAGGTTGTTTCACCGTCAAATTCGAACCCAGGAAGAAGAACGAATCTCTCTGCAGTGTGATGGAGCTTGCCAGTTCTCCATATCACGTGTATCTCTTTGCCCGCAGACGCCGAGGAAGGGTACCCAATGGCAAGCGCGTTACAACCCCAGGAGCCAGAACAGAACGGATGCAGGCAAGGAGCGTGAAAGAGTGGAACGCCAGCGGACCAGACGTGTCATTTTCCAGTGTTATGATTGCAGTGTGTCCATGGGGAACGAGGCCACGACTAACCTCCTGCGTCTCTTCACAGGTCAGCAACTGATGCAGAGTGTTGACTCCAGATCAACGCAAGGAGTCGAGTACAGGTAGTGGAATGGGGATTTCGTTCCCATGTTCGAATTCGAGGGGCGTAATGATGAATGCATGATTTGACTGCCAAATTAAACCACAATCGAAGATTTTTGAACCCCGTCTGGAAGAAGACGGATCATGCGGGATGGCGTGATCATCAGTCTAAATTTTCTATACCTTGCGTTGTTGCGCCGTGTCGACTTGGTGCGGTCTACCCCGGGAAATCGTCCCCAGTTGTGACAAGCGCCCCAAGTCAGAGCAAGCGGTGTCGTCGTGACCGTATGCTGCTTCGTGAGACCACCTCCGAAACTACTCATGAAGTCATCATATAAGCCTCTTTTATCTTTATGAACAACACAAAGTTGTTGACCTCACCAGAGGAATCCGTATGTCGATTCCCATCCTCCTGGGCAGAGGGGACCACGGTGAATGCCGACCTGCTTCCAATCCTCCTGGGAATGCCGGCCTGCTTCCAATCAGAACAACAGTCAGTGCCGACCCAAGCTTTTGACTGCTGCAGAAGCCGTGGATGGCTCGTGGTCCTGATCCAAAGCTTGTTGGACCTCGGAAAGGGCGACCCTTTCCGCAACTCCGGATTTCGGTTGAGTCCAGCCGGATGTGAATGTCCGTTGATCTTACCAAGATACGCGGTTTAAAATTAGCCGTCGCTGCGTAATACACCGACCACGACACCATTCTCCGCTGACGAGATTTCATTTTCGCCGTCACCTTCGCCCCCCGTCAGCACAGTGACCTCCTCTTATGTTCGGAGGCCGGATTGTCGCAGGTGAGATACTGGGTCCTGCATGACGTGTCCCCCGGAAGACTAATCCGCCACCCTCGGAACCAATTTGGAAGGTGATTAGGCCCTGCGAGTCTCGTCCAGTGCCCGTTGCAGCGCCAAGATCAAGGGCCTTTGTGTGGATCCAGCCAGGGCCGAGACGGGACTTTTCGCGCTGCCGAAGCAACCTCGAAAATTTCCTTTTTCCACCGTCCCTGCATGGTGGTACTATCAGGTCTGCCATGTTCGCTGGCTGCAACCCTCACCCCGCCTGTTGATCAAGTCCCTGGAACGGCCTGCAAAATAGTACAGACTTGGTTGCATCTGAAAAGCGGATCAATCTCCAGGAGGGGGCACGTCAAAGCTGATTATACCCTCTCCGCACTTGCTTCAGGTACTGCCCTCGCACAAAACCGGGTCGCTGGTGATTCGCGGCAGATTGCCGTAGTGGTTTTGGCCATTCGCCCACCCTCCATCGCCGATGGAGAGTTGCAGATCGTCATCTCCTCCGAGCAAAAATCCCCGTGACGATCAGAGTAAGTGTTCTTCCCTCCCGAAACTGGCTCGTGCGCAGGAATTGTCCCCCACCTGAGATTTCTGCGTAGGGTTGAGTTTCCAGGCCCAGAACCTCATCCTAGCGCCGAGGTTGGGAGTTGTCCAGCGGATCCACGGGAAGCGAGATCGAGATGGTAGCCGAGACAGACAACACGTGCGAGATAAGAGGCTGAGGTGTGTACATGGTACGATGTACATGTCAATTTCGGACTGCAGCAGCTTCATTGGATTTCAGCCAGGGGAAAAATGAGGGGACCGCATAGTCTCTTCTCCGCGAGTCAGTATCTGAACGTCCAGGACGTGGTCCGGTTAACGCACCTCCAAGGGACGCATGACTGGTCGGAGAGGTTGGCGGTGCTCCCAGACGGTCTTGTCCATAGCCGGCAACACTGTCGACCGGGCGGTGTAGACTTGAAGGCGAGCGATCTCTAACTCCAGTTTCAATCAGAAGCCCCTCAGCGGTAATGGACGGCAGCCGGGTGCCCGAATTATTAGAGTCAGGCGACAGCCGTGAAGACGTTTGGACGTTGGACCCTGTACCCGTGCTCGTAATCGTGGGCGGGGGAACCGGGTCAAAGGTTCCCGACGACGTTGATGAGCGAGAGGCTGCTGGGACATGGGGACTAGGCACTGGGAGCGGCAGGATGATGCGGCTACCAGATCCCGTCATGCTCGAGTCGCTTTTGAGCAATGAAGGCGGGTGCAGATTTTGCTCTGTTTCTGCTGTTTCGGAGCCGTTATTTGACGCTCCCGTGTCCTATTTCCAGGTTAGCTTCGTGATCACGAGCGGTCCATAAACACCAACAGGAAACGCCTTACGTTGTCGCGTGCATCCTCGATCAAGGCCCGTACCTCTGGCGACACCATTGGGAGGATCTCATTGAGAAGGCTCTCATACCGTGCCAAACGCCGCGAGGTTGCCGTAAGATCCTCAGCTGTCCTGTAAGAAGGGGGGCGCCCTCTGTCAGCATAGGTATTCGAAAGCAAGGCCATTCATGGGGGCCAAGTTACAAAACGTACTTCCGCTTCCTCCACCCCTTGCCGTAGCCGTAGTAGCAAGTGGTGCCAGTGTGAAGACACCTCCGACATGCAGGTCTGGACCCATCACACTTTGTCTTTCGCTCGCGACATGGTTCACAAGCGTGACTGGTTCGAGCTCGTTCAGGTTTCTCCCATGCGGAGTTGCTTGACCGCGATATGGGCAACGAGGTACTTTTGGTGACACCGGCGGGAGAAGTGTTAGAAGGTGGAGACAGACTACTGGCGGTATTGCCAGGCTTCATGACTGGTGTGCCGAGGCTCA